AATTTCGCAAGGCTATATTATCCGCATTTTACAACATTTCGCAACGAAACTTTGGAATATTACTAATTTGGTGATGCTCTTTCAAGCTGTGATGAAATATTTGTCTAGACTTGCCTAGATCAAAATTTTGGTTATAAGGGGAAAGGTCTGATGGCTACATTCCATTGCCCACTTGAAGGTGATTTAGTATTCAAACTAAATCCTGGCCCCATGGACGACCAACAAACAATTCGTTCTCACTGTTCTTTGGTACGTCGCACTTCGTTAACCACAAATTTATCAAACCTTACTACCATTAATAGAGTCCCACTTTCAATGCGCCTTAATACCTTCCTATCCACAGTGAACACATCATTCAGGGTACTATATAGTGGTATCCTTCGCTAGAGAACATAGACATATATGGAACTCGAGAAATCAAAATAATCTGATAACTATAAGTCGATCCAGCGATAATCCTATACATCATTATCATGAACAGCTCGGATTTTGCGTTATGAATGTGCAGTCATTAGAGACCTTACGATTTTAGGACGGCAACGCGACGGCAACGGCTCCCTATACAATAGATCATTAAAAAGAATTGAGTAATTACAATAAATGAATAATTTAGACATTGTCCTCGCTCTGTTTACAACGCCAAATCACAGATTTTCACGTGTTGATACAACGGCTGCATTCCAAGCCACAACAAGTGCAACTTCAAACTGGGTTTAGCAGAACTCTTCCTAACCATAAAACCCATGTCATCAACTTGTAAGACTGTATTAAATTCATACGATTGATAATATACGACGAACTATCGACTACCATTTATTTGAAGGAGTTTGTTGTGGCCGTCGCCGTCGCGGTTGCCGTCCTAAAATCGTAAGGTCTCTATTGAATAACAAGGCGGGAGAATTTATCGATTATATTTATGAGTACCAACCTGATATTGTCGCTCTTATATACGGAAACGTGGTTTCCCGAGACAGAATCTGCATCTCGCGCCATTTGCACACCATCTGGGTACAAACTTCTAGATCATCCAAGATCTAATCGCAGGGGGGGGTTGCAAGGGTACCATGTTTAGGAATAATCTGATTGTGAAAAAGGGCGACGCGAAAAAGGGCGATCGTTTGAATATTTTGAATGGGACATATTATCTGGGACACAGCGGATTCACTTGGTTATCGCCTACAGGACACCATACTCTGCAGCCCACCCCGTGACCACGGGTGTCTTCCTAGAGGAATTCTAGGAATTTCTTGAGTCAGTGATGTTCTGTGCTAATCATCTGTTGATAATAGGGGACTTCAACATTCATATGGACGTGGCTGATGATGCTGATGCGATTAAACTATGTGAGCTACTTGAGAGTGTTGGATACTCTGGACCTTATCATCGCAAGGCAGTCTGATCCCCTTGGTATTTCGGTTCCATGGATTGACTATCTTTTCTCTGATCACATGCCATCAGCAAGCCCTCCCTTAGAAAAACACAGATCTCTTTCAGGAAAATAAAATCAATTAATGTGGATACTTTGTGTAAAGAGCTTTCTAGCTCTGACCTCTGCACGAAGACAGCCTCTTATATCCTGAATGACTTGGTTGAGTGCAATAATGATACCCTAAAATCAGCCCTGGATCGTCATGCAACGGTGATCAACAAGACAGTTACTAAACCTACTGTCCCCTGGTTCACCAATGAGGTCAAATCCGCCAAAAGTGATCGCAGGCGGGCTGAGAGGAAGTGGCGCAGAACAAAGTTGCACAGTGACTTTTTGATTTTCAAGGCCCTAATAAACCGTACCACAGCTGTGATGAAGCAGGCGCGAAGAAAATACTACACAAGCTTTATAGAAGAGAACAGCCATGACCAACGCAAGCTGTTCAAGTCCATAAAGACACTGTTCGATCAGGACACAGACCTGTCTTTCAATGGATATCATGATAACAATATATTAGCAAATGATATTGGGAAATTTTTCATGCAGAAGATAGAGCGCATTCGCACTAAACTTGATGAAGCCGCTACTGACTCTACTCTAACTCCGCAGGAACCCAGTACTTGTTCGGCTCGTTTTGACTCCTTTAAAACTCTCAGTGATGACGATGTCATGCGCTTAATTGCGAAATCAAGCAAGAATTCTTGCTCGTTAGATCCTATGCCCACCCCCTTGTAGTTGAGTGTTTGGATGTTCTTCTTCCTATCCTTACAAGAATAACAAATCTGTCTTTCCATGCAATCTGGCTGCTTTCCAGAAAATTGAAAACTTGCTGATGTTAGACCCGGATTGAAGAAACCAAGTGCTGAGGAGATATTTTCCAACCTTCGCCCCATAAGTAATCTGCCTTCTGCTTCTAAGCTTACTGAACGAGCTGTATGTGGACAAATTAACTCATAAACATCTTACAGTCCACCAACTCTATCCTAAAGCACAGTCGGCATACCGTGAACTTCATAGTGTTGAAACTGCTCTCCTTCGGGTCAAGAATGACATCTTACTCAACATGAACCGGCAACGAGTCACTCTACTGGTATTACTTCATCTCAGTGCGGCCTTTAATGCCGTGGATCATAGTATACTGCTTGATCGACTTTATACAGTTAAGGTTCACTCTTGGTTCACGTCATATCTACATGATAGATGTCAGTCTATATCTATCAACGGCGAAACATCTCGGAGGTTTGAAGTACAATATGGCGTGCCGCAAGGATCCTGTCTCGGCCCTCTCCTCTTTACCCTGTATGCAAGCAAGCTGTTCACGATTATTGAACGCCACTTGCCCGAAGCCCATGCGTATGCAGACGACATACAATTGTACGTGTCCTTTAGTGCTAACTCCCGCGACGATCAATCAGCTGATGTTGAGGTCATGCAAAGATGCATTGTGGACATAAGAGAATGGACGTTGTCGGACCGGCTCAAGCTAAATGATGGCAAGACTGAGTTTGTTCTCATAGGATCTAGGCAGCAGCTTGCTAAGGTCAACATTGACGCCTTACACGTTGGTGACTGTGTGACCCCCCTATCTAGCGCAGTGAAGAACCTCGGATCCTGGTTTGATGAACAGTTAAAGATGGATAAACACATCAATAGTATCTGTAAGGCCACCTTTTTTCCACCTATATAACATTCGAAGAATTAGGAAGTTCCTTAGTTCCGATTGTACGCAGACTCTGGTAAATGCATTCGTCACTAGCCGCCTTGACTATTGCAATAGTCTCCTGCTCGGATTGCCTAGCAACCAACTATATAAGCTTCAACGTGTTCAGAACGCAGCCGCGAGGCTTATTTGTAATGTTGGAAGGGAGAGGGGGGTGAATAGGTTTTCGGATCGTCGGATTCCGCCGAAAAAATAGTTCGGATTTTGGATTTGGCGAATATTTTACACGGATTTGCGGATCTATTAATACAGCGGATTTCGGATTTATCTAATATTTTGGCTCGGATCAGTGTGGATTTTGCTTGCAATTTAGTTCGGATCCTGGATTGTGACTTGATAGTAGAGCTTTTAGCGGATCCAAATTTAGACAAGACCATTGTCGGACAGCGGATTTTGCTTCAAATTTGGGCGGATCGGCGGATTTGTATACCCCTATTCACCCCCCCCCCCCTGGAAGGTTTGAACACATCACTTCTTCTCTATTTAGTCTTGATTGACTACCTATTGCCTACAGAACTAAGTTCAAAATTCTACTTTTAACGTTTAAAGCACTTAATGGACTTGTTCCAGAATATATTTCAGAACTCTTAGAACATAAAGATTACCTCCAGATATAATCTTAGATCATCCAAAGATATGAACCTACTAGAACATTCGAAAGTAAAAAGCAAAGCAACGCTGGGTGACCGCTCTTTTACTGTTTCGGCACCAAATCTATGCCTATGGAATAATCTTCCAAATGCTCTGCGGAATGTTTCGAATGTTCACAGTTTTAAATGTCTCCTAAAAACATACCTCTTCAAGGAGGCAAGTTATTACCATTTTATAAATACACGATTGTCACTTGTATCTTATTTGTAAATTTATATTTATTATACTTAATTAGTGTTTCCAAATTGATGTAACTATTCTCATAATTTTAAAATGTAAACCTTGTGGTTGGTTTTCCTTTGTAATGCGCCTGTGAGCATCTTCCCATGTAACAGGCGCAATAAATTAATACAATTATTATAGAATTATCGAATTTAAGTTGGTAATATGTATAGAGGAGTTGATAAGTATGATTTCGGGACTTTTTCGGCGAAAATACTATTCGCGAGTGGAATGTTGTTGAAATTTCAAGTGAAATGTGTCGTCGCACTGTGTCTCTAGGCATCGTAATCAACACAATTACAAGAAATGAGACAGCTTCACATGCATGTATAGGGGCAATAATGGGTGAATAAATGCAGCTAGGGGCTTGTGGCGATTAAAGTTGCAGAACTTAGCGTGTTGTAGCAATGCATGGCCGAGGCTAGGTCTAGGATCTGTCGCTAGTTGTTCAAGTGTTTTGTCTTTATGCAATAAAGAACAAGAAGTAAAACAGGACATCATGCGGGAATGTCGGACGTGATAATGAAGAACTCAAATTTTGTATATATCAAATATATATATATATATATATATATATATATATATATATATATATTAAGATGAAAATGCTCTAGAGTATGTATTATATAATTTCCATACCCAGCGCAAGCAGAAAGATGTTGTCTGCCGCGGCTGGGTCCAATACTCTGTATATATATATATATATATATATATATATATATATATATATATATATATATATATATATATATATATATATATATATATATATATATATGTAGGGTGTATATATAGAAAAGGCAATCCAACTTTAGCGTGCTCTATCGAATTAAACATAGATTTGAGAAAGCTGCAGATTGAGAGAGATACAATTACCTGAAAATATAAGCACTGAGAACTTCGACGCTTCGAGGGGTAGCTCTATCTCTCTCAATCTGCAGCTTTCTTGTTATCGTTGCTACCTATATATACACTGGAACTATACCATTGGCCTAGATTTTATTTTGATCACTGATTGGGATTTTAATTAGCTTTTGAATGACAAATCGAAACAGTAATGACCAAATACGAGCCGCGATTAATTAATTAAAAATTGCCGGTCGAAATCACATTTTTCCAACTTTGTGTATAATTAAAGCAGTACATAACAATCAGATAAAAAAAGCAATTAATCACTATGTCATGCCAAATAATAAGCTTGAAACAGAAGTGACAACAATTTTATCCAACATGTTAGGGATTTTCAATTAAAATTCATGAATTTTAGATTCAAATTGGATTTAATTTCGATATAGTTTTGGGCCCAATTCACAACTGGCCCGCGTTGCATTCTTTAATCGCAGGGGAGCGAACGAATTCGGAACTGTGCCTAAATGTCTATATTCTTTCCCAGTTTCCTGCACAAATTTGTTCCGGCCCGTAGATAAACAGGAGAAAGGCTGTCTGACAAAAAGAGCCGTTTATACGAAGCTTCTTTATAGCTTATCATTGATAGGCTGGTACAGAGAAATACAGAGCATGCACGATGTACATGTCTACAGAATATTGGAATTATTGCATGAGTTAACATTTGTTATAGCGCAAGTTTACATGTGATACGATCAAATGCGCTTTACATCAAGAATATTACACTTACCTAATTACAAATTTAGCCAAGACTATTTTATCTTTGCAACAATTGTCATCATATTACTTTCTTAAGTTAAATGTGTTTATCCTAACCCACCCTGAGTTTATAGCCGAGAATCGGAGGTGAAAGGCTCTTGCTCTGACGACTGCGCCAGCGAATTCAGAATAATTACAAACTATATATACATTTTTCCAACCTGAATAAAGAACATTAACTATGTGCCTTTTTCTGCAATATACAAAAGATGTTTAGGTTGAAAGGTGTGTGAATGCATGTATTTATAGTCGAAAGAAGTATAAAATTGGGTTAGGTGTGTAGGGAACACCGCGGTCAATAGACGGCTCAAACGCCCGCGTATTGACTGCTTGTACTCGAAAGACTGGGAAAAGTATTGTCTTCACGTTACCTTTTCCGCAAATTCACACCTTTGTTGATTACACGCCTATCATCCCTACACGGAATGCCGGGAAAATGTCGGCCAAAATACGGGAAAAGAAAGCAATTTACTATAAGGAAACTGATTGAAGCTATTCGCGGTAAGAGTTCAAACTCTTGTAATTTTCGTTAAACGTATGTAAAAAAGGTGTGTACTCCAAGGGTGTGTAATCGTGGACACCTTACGAATCTGATTGCTTTCCTTTTCCCCGGTCGTAAGTAGTATCCTCGCCCCAGGTTATCGCTTCATGCGTCGGGGACGACGTATGACGGCGACATTAGGACGACGAAATAATTGTGTAGAAATCTTGTCATGTATTTATTTTCATATGAATTTAATACAGTTTCGAAAGGTTCACTAAAACAGAGCTTTATACCCTTGCCAATGGACAACTTGCATGTTAGACTAAATTTTAATCTAAGTAAAGAGAAGGGAATTAAACATCACAGCTAAAAAGAACATACTGAAATTAGTAAAAGTGTAAAATTTGGTTGCGAAATATTGTAAAGCTTGGAAAATATAGCCTTGCAAAGTTTGCAAATTTTCAGTATATTTGTATTACGAGCGGAAATTGTTACCATTTTCGGCTCAAAAATGGTAACAATTTCCGCACGTAATACAAATATACTGAAAATATGCAAACTTTGCAAAGCTATATTTTCCAAGCTTTACAACATTTCGCAACCAAATTTTGCAAGTTTACTAATTTTAATAAGTTCTTAACGGGCATTTACTTTTTTTGTGCCTAGATCGGCTAGATCAAAAATTTGTCTAACATGCATGCAAGTTGTCTATTGTTCAAAGTACAATTACCGCTAACCCTGGATTAAATAGACTAGACTTTTAATAATTCATTTCTTTTGCATGTGCTATATATGATTAATATGTATTTACATTAATTGATAGCCGTCGCTTTTGCGTTGTCCGTTAATAATCTCCCTATACTTGTCCCACATGCATGCATATACATGCAACATTTGCCAATGAACTTCTCATGAAATATCGCGCCATAGAGAATTCACTGACATGCATGCATCGCCGGGGGTTGGCGATATACATCTGCTATATAGTTGCATGTCGCCACTGAACGCCGATTGTCGGCATAGATCGGTAAAATCAGTTTCATAATAAATACCAAAGCCCAAAGGCAAAGCTTTATAAACTCAAATATTGAAACTTTAATTACAATTTTTATGAAATTTCTCTGTAATGAAAACGCGATTAAAGCGTTAGTTGAGTGTTTGTAATCCGCTCCCTCATTTTGTGCCACAATTAACAGTCCCACATTCACACATTATTGACAATACTGATTCGCGTTAGAACCATAGATATCTTATACAGCTATTTCAATTAAGGTTGCCCCCCGAGCAAACGAATGAATTTATTAGCGATTCCCAGCAGCCTTTCGCGCTCGTATTCGACTGTTCCGCTTTGCTCGGGGGACAACCTTAATTGAAATAGCTGTATACACTGGATAGCGCATCTCTTTAGTAAAATTGAAGCCAAGAATATTCCGGCGGTTACCCCCATTTGAATAGATGGCGGCCATGTTGGTAGTTCCCACTCGCTAATGAACGCTTAAAAAACAACAATAACTTTCATCATTTGAATAGTTTAAAAATGTATTTGGAATAGGTTTAACTTAATGTTTAAGTTCCCTGTTTAAGAAATAGAAAACAGTCATACGAATCTTCTCATTTCATGAGAATATCCTGAGTCTGCAATCACGGCTTCAATTTTTTGAATTACAGAATTTGTAATTAGATGCACTATCTAGTGTACAGTATATAAGATATCTATGGTTAGACATATATATATAGCGGCAGGCTGAAATACAGAACAATAACTGTAATGGGTATATGATGAAGATCATAAGCAAATAAACTTCGTACGAATCAGTGGAAGTAAACAGTTATGCGGGGAGGGGGTGTTGTGGCATACCCGAAGGGGGAAGAGGCTGACACTTTGCATGAAGAGCATTTTCCGAGTTTTGTGATGG